TGTCCTCCGAGTGCTCGTCAAACGGATCCAAATTCTTGCGAAGAGATCCGATGAAAGCGATCGGATCCTGAGGAATGATTGACATCTTTTTGCGCAAATCGTGAAGACCTATACTCTTGCAGTCGATGCCATCGATGATAATATTGCCTTCGATTTCATGCATCCGGAAGAGCGCCGCCAATATAGAGCTCTTTCCGGCTCCGGTCCGGCCGACGACTCCTACCTTCTCTCCGCCTCTTATAATGCAATTGAGATTAATTAGAGTCGGTTTCGGACTGTTTTCATAAGTCAGGTAAACGTCTTTCAATTGAATCCTCCCTTCTTGTGGCCAATCGAGAGCTGGTTTTGTGACGCTTTCGAGTTCGGCCTCAGATGGGAGTCGACTGTATTCGAGGATCCGTTCAACAGATGTCATCTGATTCTCCACTTCAGCTGACTGTCTGACCCCCCACTGAGTCATTCCCGTCATTCCTAATGCCATAGATAATGCCAGACCAGCACTTCCTCCGGGAAGACCTTTCATTAAAAACATTTAAAATTAATTATTTAGTTTTATTTTACAATTATTATAGTTTTAAAATTTAAAATAATTTAAATAATGAATACCTTCTGGAAATAACATAATAAAGAGGGCCACAAGAAAGATATAAAGTACACAAATCCAGTCCATCATTACTCCTAAATAACAATTAGACAGATATAGTATTTGAATTAATAATGTTTTGTGTATTGATTACCGAGAGCTCTGGAGGCACAGTAGCACATGACATATGTGGCCGTGTGGTCATTCTGGTACCTGTAATACTGGGCCCGAAACATATCCTGAGCCCGAAATGCCCTGATTGTTGCCAAACCATTAAGTGTAGTGGTCATGTGGTTATACATTGGACTTCGAGCTGATAACATTAATGATCAAGATTACAATGAATTAACAAAATTATGGTTTCATAACATTACCTGTATTTTCAAATCTTTTAAAATCTCGTCCCGTCTTTATATAAATCCATCGAATTTGCAGAATAAGGAAAACCATAAGAATTGCTGGAAATATTAAATACCAGTTAACCATTGCCACCACAATAATCGTACCAATTATTTGTGTCACAATCTATTTTAAGAATTATATTATCGGTTATAATACATTAATGGTTTCAATTGCAATGATAACTCGTACTAAATTCAAGTCATATGAACACAACGGCAACTGTTCGTCAACTATTCCGACATCTTTTGTAAATCGATTCAGAATTCGGCCTAAAATTATAAAAACATTTATTAATAGAGTCCATCGGATGACCACTATTTCACACTACAAACCGACGGGATTGTTGTCAAAGAAAGCGATCGGAGCCCTCATTAGTCTGAAAAATATGCTGTTATGGAGATTGACTGACGCTATGATACACATCATGAAGAAAGTTCCCGATCGGATGATTAGGGTTATGAAAGTCGTGGCCACTAATACTGAGTATATGATTATGTTATTCGTCTGATCGTATTCTAGCGATATATTCCTGGCGTCCTCTGCATTAGTCCTGTCATTCATACAAATTATCAAATATTTATTTCTTTTATTCCTTTAAAAATATATTCTTTATTACCAGTCAGTCAGCCATATGTCACTGTAATGAAAGAGTCCTTGCGATATAAATGTGGACAATAGCATCATAATCATTAGGAAAGGTCCGGCGCCGGCTCTAACAAAATCCCAGTATACCCGGGCGTCTATAGCACCGGTAGCCTTACTCTCATCTTCCAGTTTTGGATCACTGACTTGAATGTCAACCTATCGTCAAATATAATGAATTGCTTTAATAAATGATTTTATAAAATAAAATATAATTAGAAAATACTTCAGATTTAGTGGAAAGTGTGCTAATAGTCCGCTTTCTAGCGATTATTTGTTCGGCTATTAATAACTCTTCACTTTTGGCCTCTTCTTTCTTCTTCTCATTTTCTTTCTTCTCTTCACTGATTAAAGACATGAAATCAATGCCCGAATCAATCAGTTCAGCATATGATCCAAAAGCGAGGGGTCGGCCGTCTTTGAGCACAAGAATTTTTGTGGCCTTTTTGATGAATTGGATTTGATGTGTGACTAAAACTACAGTTTTTGATTTCAGATAATCTGTTATACATCTGTTGAGAAAACAAATTAGTTTTTTTAATAAATATTAAAAGTATTAAAATATTTTACTTCTCAAAGATATGTTTTGCGACTTCAGAGTCGACAGCACTTAACGGGTCGTCCAATAAATAAACGTCGGCGTCGTTATAGAGAGCTCTGGAATTGGGATTAAAAGCACAATTAAGACTAAAACCAAATATATGACAATTGGATGTCTGTCCCAAACCGCGCTAAAGTGATGCGAGCTTTCTGTCCGCCACTCAACGACACGCCTCTCTCTCCGACTAAAGTCTTTTCTCCGAAAGGAAACAGTTTTAAGTCTCTATTCATCGCACAAACACTTATGACTTCTCGCCATTTCTTCGAGTCGTAAGGCTTTCCAAACATAATATTCTGTAAAATACTTGAGTTGAAAGACCACGACTCCTGTGAGGCATACGCTATACTTCCGTTCACTTCAACGGAACCCGAAGTCACTTCAATCTCATTCATCAGAGACAT